GCCGACCACTAGGGGCAGTGTTAAGGTTGTGACCTCCAGGGATGAGTGTCCACTCCACAGCCGCCTCCCCCCAGACAGGCCCTCAGTGGAGCCAGGCAGCTCTGCTCCCTTGTCACAGACCCTCTCAGATCCTCCTTCATGGCCTCGAGGTCCCACAGAGAGCAGCAAGACCTGGGCCTCGGGCCTCTGCAGGCCTAGAGGGCCCCCTCTCTCTACAGGTTTTGGGAGAACTGGGATCAGGCTTCCCCCTGTGGGGCCCTGGCTGGGGTCCTTAGTGGAGCCTCAGGGCCAGAGAGCTCTTAATGGCCACAGAGACCTCCCCACTGCTCACAGACAAGCTGGTTGCTGGCCTCAGCTGCTCCTGCAGCCCTGGGCTGTGAACTGTCTGAGAAGAGCCTGGGATGGCCGTTGAGAAGGCAGGGCACTTGGGGTCGGAGGCCAGGGTCAGGGACCTCCCCGAGTGCGCCCTTCACCCCCTAATCAGGCCACCCCCCAGCCAGTGTTCAGAGCTCAGAGGTGGGTGCTCCTCACAGCAGCCTCTGGGCCACAGTGAGCAGATCAGAGAAGATGTCTGGGCCAACACTCCAGCCCTCAGACACATGGCATTCTCTGAGGGGCTCCACACACCCATCCTGGGAGAATGACACCCACTCCCTCTCCCCCTAACACCTCGTCCTTGTCTCAGAGCTTAAGCACTTCCGAGCTTTGGGCCAGCCTTCCTGAACTAGGGCCCCAACCGTGAAGTTGACCGTCCCACTGTGGCCTCACTTTTAAAAGTGAGGTGGGGTTGGGTGATGGGCAGGCCAGGGGAAGGACAGGCACGTATACCCTTCTCCCTGTGAATGGGAAGGGTTTGTTTCAGGGTGGGTGATAATGTGCAGAAATGACTAGGCAGTTGGGAAACTATTTTATTTTTCTTTATGATGAACTGTCTGAGAATTAATGTTTGTTCTTGGGAAATGGGACACATGTGATAAAGATAAATGTGTGGACAACCAGGGAATAACAGGGATCTAGGAGACTTGGAAGGAGCCTCATTCACCATGCCAATCATCACCCCGGACTGTTCCAAGGGATGAATGCCAAATGTCACAGCTGACTGTCCTGCGGAGGCCTTGTGGTGTGAGTCTGGAGAATTCAGACTGGGAACTGTCTGGCAGGGCTCAGAGAATGGAGGTGCTCTGGCCAGCGGTTGGGGAGCAGGGTTACTAACTGAGAGCCACGAATGATGGAATCTCCCTGAGGGTCAGTTCACGAGGTCTATTTCCCATAGTGAGTGTTGTCAGATTCTTCTCATGGAGTGTCATTCTCTTAGGCTTCTCCCAACCTCTCAGTAAAGTCTCATACAGTCAACCCACCTGCATGGTGACATGTGGAAAGAATGAAGCTGTCACTGCTGAGGGGAGACATGGCCTGCCTGTTCACCTGGCCTGTCTAGGTGACCAAAGTTCACAAAGTCCTGGATGCAGTTTGCAGCAGGGAGAGTGATGCTCCTAGGAGCAGTGGACAGCAGTGGACAGTGAGAAGTTGCCTACTAGAGGGTATGTAGTTCTCTATGAAACCCCCAGCACCTAGGCAGTGATTCAGTAAATGCCTGCATGACACTGTATGGGCTATCTTCACCAAATATCCTATCTAATAAAAGAGAAACATGGTAATTGGCGTACGACCGCTACCCTTCCCATTGGCTAATCAGGGCAATATGCAAATTAACTGCCAGCCACAATGGCGGCCGGCAGCCAGGCAGCTTGAAACTAACATGAGGTTTGCTTGCTTCAGTGACGGAGGGCTCCAACGTTCCCCGCCTGCCGCTGCAGGCCTCTGAGCAGCAACTCTAAGCAACTATGTAACAAATATAGAACCTAAACAAAACCCCAGAAACCTGCTTAGTCCAGCCAGGCTTCAGCCAGCAGGATCGCAACATTGTAAGCAAAGGCCAGAAACCTACTTTCAGCAGCGGAGGCCTAAGAGCTGGAGACAAGCCTCAAAGCTAAAGCTGGCCCAGAATAAAAAGAAAAAAAAGAAAAAAAGGAGTGGTTGGAAGCTTCAGTCACCCCCAGCCTGACAACAGCCCTCAGCCCCTCACCCAGACTGGCCAGGCACCCCAGTGGGGACCCCCACCCTAAAGGGTGTGTGACCAGGTGCAAACAGCCATCATCCCCTCACCCAGGCTGGCCAGGCACCCCAGTAGGGACCCCCACCCTGATCCAGGACACCCTTCAGGGCAAACCAGCCAACACCCACCCGTGCACCAGGCCTCTACCCTATATAGTAAAAGGGTAATATGCCTCCCGGCACCGGGATCAGCATGACGGGGCAGCGCCCAAACCCCCTGATCACCCTGCGGCTCTGTGTGTGACAGGGGGCAGGGCCACAACCTCCCTATCCACCCTGCTCTGTTCGTGACAGGGGAAGGCACCCCAATCCCCTGATCAGCCCTGCTCTGTGCCTGATAGGGGGGAGCTCCCCAACCCTCTGATCGCCCTGCAGCTCTGTGTGTGACAGGGTGCGGCACCCCCCCCCCCCAGGCCCTGCTCTGTGTGTGACAGGGTAGAGCCATAACCTCCCCATCAGCCCTGCCCTGAGTGTGAGAGTGGCAGCGCCCCAACCCCCTGATCGGCCCTGCTCTGTGGGTGATAGAGGGCGGCGCCCCAACCCCCTGGTGGGCCCTGCTCTGTATGTGACAGGGGGCAGTGCCCCAACCCCCTGATTGGCCCTGCTCTGTGCGTGACACGGGGCGGCGCCCCAACTCCCCAATCGGCCCTGCTCTGAGCCCGACCAGGGGCTGCACCTAGGGATTGGGCCTGCCCTCTGCCACCCGGGAGCAGGCCTAAGCCAGCAGGTTGTTATCTCCCGAGGGGTTCCAGACTGCGAGAGGGCACAGGCCGGGCTGAGGGACCCCCCCTCCCCCCCAAAAGCACAAATTTTTGTGCACTGGGCCTCTAGTCTACACTAATAAAAGAGAAACATGCAAATTGGTGTCACTCTGCTACGCCTACCAGCCAATCAGAGTGACTATGCAAATTAACCCAACAAAGATGCCAGTTAATTTGCATACGCAGGCACAGAGTGAAGACTGAAGACTGAAGACTGAAGAGGCTTGGCTTCTCCGCTGTGGCCAGACCAAAGTCCTGGGTCCCAGATGCCAGAGGAGAATCGATGCTGGCAGCCAGGGGAAGGAAGGCCTATTGCGCGAATCTTCGTGCAATGGGCTTCTAGTATATATATATAAATGTCCAATAAATACATGAAAGATGCTCACAATTGTTAACCCTAGAGACATGCAAATTAAAACCAGAATAAAATACCATTACACACTCACTAGAATGACTAAAGTTAAAAGACTGATATAGCAGGTGTCCGGGGACATGGAGCCACCGGAGATCCCAGATATTGCCTGAGGGGATGAAAAATGGTGCAGCCAGTAAGAAAACAGTATGGTAGTAATTTGTAAAACTAAACATATCCTTAGCATACAATCCAGCAATCCCACTCCTAGATATTTAGTCAAGAGAAATGAACACTTATGTTCACACACAGACTTGTATGTAAATGGTCTTAGTAGTGTTATTCATAAATAACAAAAAAACAACAACCTGAAAGTAACTCAAATGTCCATTAACTAGTGAATGAATAAACAAATTGTACAACAGAATACTACTCAGCCATAAAAAGGAATGACATATTAATATATGTAGCAACGTTGGTGAATCTCAAAAACATTATAAAAGAAATAATTAAACACAAAAAGTTATGTACTGTATGATTCCACTAATATGAAACTCTAGATGAATCAAAATTATGATGAAAACAGATCAGTGGTTGCCTGGGGCTGGATTGGGGGAGGAGATGGAGATGAGCAGGTGAGATGTATAAGTGCAGGAATGTTCTACATCTTGATTGTGGTGGTGGTAACAAATGTATAGAAGCCTGAACAGTTAAAATGGGTGAATTTTATTGTATGTCAATAAAAATCAAATTTAAATTTTAAGTATAAAAAAACACTCCATAAACCTATGGGCAAACTTAAAAAAAAGAATGTCTTGAAGGTAGACAGACACACAATAGAACAAAGGTAGGAATGATAGAAGACTTCTCTACTCTGTAATCTAGAAATCAGTAGAGTAAAATCTTTAAAGTACTGAAAGAAAAAAAAAAAAAACATGACCCAGAATTCTAAGGTCAGTGGAACTACCTTTCAAACGTGAAGGTGCAATAAAGACTTTCAGACAAACATAAGGTGAGAGAATTCATTGCCAGGTGACCTGTGGAAATAATAAAGGAAGGTTTTCAGACAGGAGGAGCATGACACCAGATGGAAATATTGGTCTTTACAAGGAACAAAGATGATTAAAAACGGTAAAAAAAGGAATGTAAACAAAGGTATCCATTAGAAGAACTACAACCAGACCGCCAAGCTTCCAGGTAGCTAAAAGGGTCTCTGCACCGAGCTTGTGCATGGTGGATGGAGACAGGTGGCAGAACCACCGACACTTGGCACAACCCCCGGCGTGACTTTGCACTGGTTACTGGACGCCAACGCACAGTTCAATCCTCACCGCCCTGGGAGTGAGGGAGGCTGGCACATACTGTCCCTGCTTTATAGGAACAGAAACGGAGTCTCAGAGAAAACGAGTGACTGTCCTGGCGCAGGAAGCCATGTAACAGACAGGACTGGGCATTTTCTATCCCGTGCGAGCTTAGTCCAGTCTCCTGGGAGTCTGTGAAACAGCCACACAGATCTTGGAGGCTGTGTTGCCGTTAAACATTCCTCGGCGGTCACCTCTAACCCGGGGCGAGCATCCACTACCCGGGACCGTTAGGAGGGTCCAGGGAGAGGGCGCCGTCACTGCAGACAGGGGCGAGCCGGCTTCCGCGCGCAGCCGGGCAGGGGCCGTCGCCCGGTGGCGTCCGTTGCTAAGGCCGTGCTGCCCTGGCGACCGAGTGCCGCGGCTCCGCGCACGCGCAGTGGCGGACTCCGGTGCACTGTGGGATGGAAACCAGAGCGGCGCGTCCGGGCTGGAGCGGGCGGCGGCGGCGGGGCCGGGGCGGCAGGGCGGCGGGGCTGAGGCTCGGCGGGCCGGCGGGGGTGCGGGCGACGCCGCCATGAACGCGGCGGTGGTGAAGCGGACGCAGGAGGCTCTGGGGAGGGTGATTCGGAGGCCGCCGCTGACGGAGAAGCTGCTGAGCAAGCCCCCGTTCCGCTACCTGCACGACATCATCACTGAGGTGGGCGCCAGGCCGGGGTCCAGGCCCTGGCGGGATCGGGGGCGGGGGTGGGGGGGCCCTGGGTGTGGGCCGGAGTCTGGGCCCAGGTGCGGGTCGGGGCCCAGGTGTAGGTCCGGGAGCAGGGTCCGCCCGAGTGTGGGCCAGGCTGTGGGCCAGGGTCGAGGTGGGGGATCGTCGGCCGGGGTGGGGATGAGGGCTGGCGTCGGGGTCGGGCCTCGCGTGGCTGTGCGCAGCCCCTGCCCGCCGAGCCACGCTTTGACCTGGCCTTGGGCCGGAGGGGCGACCGCGGGCCCAGTTCAGTGGTGCCTGTGCGCCGGGTGCCTCTCCACTCCTGCGCCGCCCCTGTCACCCATCCCCTTGGGCCACCTCTTCCGGGGAGTCCCTGGCCATTTCTTTCCAGCCTGCCCTCGTATGTTAGAGCACATCTTACATTCTACCTGCCAGAGCGGTTTCTGTGATTTTTTCTTCAGTGCCAAGCACGTGGAAGGCGCTCAGAAATCCTGGGAGAAGGAAACGACCCTTTTTTATGGTCCCCTCTACCGCCTGGTTTTCCTCCACAGGGCCCTGCACAGGTTCTCTGCATATCGTATGTTTGATAAATACCCGTGGGTGAATTTATTGAAGGTGGTTGTAGGGGAGAAGCTATAAAAGAGCACTTTCATATTTGCTGATCAGTGGCACAGCCTGCCTCGGTTGAGAGTGGTGGTAACTTTTCCCTAGCGGAAGGAAGGTGAATTCCTGAGCCATGGAGACCGTAACTTGTTGACATGTTCCGGGTGAGCTGCCCCGGGTGCAGTACACAGAAGGTGCACACAAACATTCAGTTACCTAGAATCTGTCAAGACTCCTGGTAACTCCTGTGAAGACATCCATCTCCATGGTGCACCTGGGGCGGGCATTGAACTCTGGCGTGCTCTGTGGAGTTAGGACTCAGCTTGAACTTGCAGACTTCTAGGGGCTCCTGGTCTCCCCCCTTGCTGGTTCTCAAATGTCATTTATCACTCTTTCCAGCAGGTTGGGCATCTTACTCTTCCACAAACGTTGCTTTACTCATTTCTGCTGTCTTATAATATGTTTATAATATGTGTCTCTGTGTTAAAAAGCCCTAATTGTGCTTAAAACTCTCTGGAATCCCACCCACATACAAAGGGCTGTCTGGCCTCTTCCTCCTCCTGCAGCCCTGGACGATGTGTGGGGAAGGGAACCAGCCATGTGTTTCATCACCTCCAACTTGTGAAGCAGGCAGGTAGCGTCTTCTAACCCAGGAGGGTACAAGTCAGTCCCCAGGATGGGAGCCTGGCTGACTATAGCCTCACGCTTTATCTTCTGTGTCAGTCCTGTCTGCCCACTGAAACGGAGAGTCTGGAAGGGAGGTGGGGGCATGCCTCCTCCCCTGGGTCTTGGCATGTCGCTGGGCAGACGCATTGGAAAGCATTTTCAGATAACAGGTTCAGAGCCTTGTATGAAAATTCTTTACTGCCCCTGAGTATTATAGTTAAGTCATCCTCTTAGTATCTTAGCTACAGCTAAACTAACTTTGCCTCTTTCATAAATCAAATAATTGATCTTGTGATGTTAATGTGTCTTGTCACTTAAAATTATTGCTTACAATTTTAACTGCCCGCTAACTGGGAAAACCTCAAAAGAGACAAAAGTTTCCAGGAATACGAAGTACAGGGTACTCTTTTTTTAAAAAATATATTTTTATTGATTTCAGAGAAGAAGGGAGAGGGACAGAGAAAGAGAGGAACATCAATGATGAGAAAGAATCATTGATCATTGATCAGCTGCCTCCTGCACACCCCCTACTGGGGATAGAGCCTGCACCTGGGCATATGCCCCTGTCCAGAATCAAACCCGGAATCCTTGAGTCCGCAGGCCGACACTCTATCCACTGAGCTAAACCGGCTAGGGCCAGGATACTCTTAATGTTCTACCTGTTTTCTCAGGAAAAATAATGGCACAGCTCTTACATAGTTTGATGAGGAATAAATGCTTAATCAGTAGCCTGCTGTAGCTGGGTCTCAGAGAAGCAGTTGACTTTAGCATGGGACTGTTCTGTTTTATTTTGTTTTGTTTTTAAACATGTCTTCCAGTAATAAATATGCTTTATATCCACCTGAAATGCACACAGATAGATATATTTATACTTACTATATAAAAACACAGTCTGATTTTTTTTGTTTCACTAAAATAATGCTATTGCTATCCACTGTGTTGATTTTATAGTAACTGACCACATTTTGAGAAAAGCTGGTCTTGGAGAACCCAGGGTCCTGGCTGTATGTGGGGATGAGGAGGACCAGAAAAGCTCGTGTTCGGGGTCATGGGGAGGTGCCGGTTGACTGAGGGAGAGGACAGAGGTGATGCGGCACGGAGCACCCTCTGTCCCAGGAAGTGAGGGACACAGTGAAGGAGAAAGACCTTCCACCTAGTTTCAGAAACCCAGGCTGAGAAGTTCCTCTTCTTTCTGGAATCCATTCTTTCCACTGGGCCTGAGTGACCCTTGTAAGATGTTGTCTCCTGCTTTTGAACCTCCCAGGGCCTCCTTGTGGTCCTTAGGCTAAGTCCCTATTCCTGAATGGCTTCAGAGGCCATCGGGGTCAGGCCCCTGCCTGACTCTGGCCTCAGGCTGCGATTTTCTTGGTCTGGACCTTTCCAGGGCTGTTCACTTAGACTGGCATGTGCTTCCTCAAAACCCCCTCCCCCAACTCTTCTCCTGTATGCCTCTGGTCTCAGTTTAGGTCTGACTGACGTCTTCTGGGAGGTATTCCTTGACACCCTCACCCCTCCGGAGTTTGGATGGGTACTGTTCCCCTCTTCCCTTACCACCCCATAAGACTCTCTGATGTTTACCTGTTCCCACAGTTGGGCTGGTTTCTCCTGGTCAAGGCCTCACACATGATAGACTTGTGTTTGTGGGGTGAGTACGTGAATTAGATCTTGGGTGCAGACAGATTCGGGGTTCAATGAATGAGGCTGATGAAGAGGCTGCCCTGTGGGGTGCTGATCATGTTTTACTTTATCTTTTGAAGGTGATTCGGATGACTGGCTTCATGAAGGGCCTGTACACGGAGGCCGAGATGAAGTCAGATAATGTGAAGGTAGGTTTGAGGGGGGCCTTAATGAATGGTTTGTTTTTTTTATAAGCTGTGTACCTTGGTGTGTGTCATTTATATGCTGATTATGGTTGGATAATTTGTGAATTGCTGTGTACTCTTTTTCATTTCATTTTCTCATTTTTGGCAACTGTATTCATGCTAATTTTATTCACTGAGAAATGGGATTAGTGTTGCAAAGGTTAGTGCTAGCACATCAACTAATATTAAAAGCTTTATTGAATTTTTTTGTTTTGTTATAGAGGGTCAGTATTTTTCAATTGACATCTAAAAATAGCTTTTTATGCAAACAGGAACTGTGCCTACCGAACATACTAAAGGTAACACAAAACATTTGAAATATTTTATTATTTGTATTTTAAATGAAAATCTTTCAGGATAAAGATGCAAAAATTAGCTTCCTTCAGAAGGCCATAGATGTGGTTGCGATGGTCTCGGGAGAGCCATTGTCGGCGAAGCCAGCCCGGATCGTGGCGGGGCACGAGCCCGAGAGAACAAACGAGCTGCTCCAGAGAATTGGGAAGTGCTGCCTCAGCAAGGTAATGCTGCAGCCGGGCCCTTCGAACTCACCAGCACGAGAGCAGCGATTACAGCAGGAGTTTTGGGTGATGTGTGTTGGACGCTGCACTTTGAATCTGATCCCACCTAATCTGGAACCTCGGAGTTACATGGGAGTAACTTAAAACTGTGTAATGAAACAGAGACCCAGGTTCCACAGGCTTTCAGTGTAAAATTGGGACTCACAGGCCCTCGGCTCCTGGGGCCAGTGGCCTGAGGCTGTGTGCCCAGGCTTCCCGGCCTTGTCCTCCTCCTTTCAGGGCCCCTTTCAGGGCAGGTGACTGTTTCCCACTGGGGCCCAGATAGATGGAGCAACTCCTTTTCTTACTTGGGGCTCATGGAACGTCCCAGTTCTCTGCTTGCCTTCCCAGCCTCTGGTGTCGCGTCCTTCCCTCCTTTCTTCCCTATTGCCCTCCCCTCTCCTGGTTGTTGTTTGCAGAGCTGTGCTGCCTTCAGAGAAACCCTGTTTCAATTGTACAGGGACTGGAATTGTTACTTCCTGAGGTCCTCACTATGGCCTGGAAGCATGGCCTCTGGTTAGGTGCAACCTGGTCCTGTTTGCTGAGAAGATGGAGAAGGTCATCCCCAGGGCCTGCCTTCTTTGTGGGAGCTGGGTAGCCCCCCAGGGGAGTGGGGTTGGACCTTTATGAAGGGCTAGCTAATAAAGCCCTTTGTGTACCTGGTGGGTTATGGGCTGGGGGCTAACCTTCATTGTTGCTGGTAGCAGCAGTGGTGGCTACTAGGAGGCCTCAGGAGAGCCTCTCTGGTCTGTGTCCAACTCACAGGCTTGGAGATGCAGAAGCTGAGTGCGGGTGGTGGGGAGAGAGAATGTTTCTGTCCCCAATCCCCACCCCATGCCCTTCATGTTGCTTCTCTTTCCAGAAAGCAAATCTGACTCCTGTCTTCCCTGCTGAATCCTTTGGGGCTTCCTGTTGCCTGGGTGTGTGCGTGCGCGCGCGTGCGTGTGTGTGTGTGTGTGTGTGTGTGTATGCGTGCGCACGCATAGACAGCTCTGTGATGTGGCTCATAAGGCCCAGAGAGACCTGCTGCTATTCCCCGTCCTCCAGTTCTCTCTTGTCTACTGCACCTGTGCCTGCCCTGAGGTTTCCTGCCCTGGTTGTTCTCCCGCCTCCCAGTTTCATCTGGCAGCAAAGCGGGACCCCTAGCCTTTCCTCCTCCCAGGCTGGCTTGTGTTTCCATAGCACACACATAAGCACAGCCGTTTAACCATTGTAGTTAGCCATGTCTCCCAGGACATCCCCTAGTATGCGGTATATTCTCCAGTACAGCGGTGGCCAACCTTTAGGACCTCACGGACCACCGGTTGGCAACCACTGCTCCAGTATATCCTCAGCCCCCGGTCTAGTGCCTCCTGTGGAGAGAGTGCGGGAGTGTGAGGTGTGCCCAGGCTCTGGCCGGTGGGCGGGGTGCTGCAGAGGGATTCTCTCATTTCCTTCCTTCAGGCCTTTAATGCTGGGTGTCTGTGACCCTGTAGGGACTGGGAGGCATTCATGGAGTTGTCCTTGAACAGTGTGTCCACACTTCAAGCACGATTCATTGAGCTCGGGTGGGTTCTGCTGTCCACACTGCAGTGCTGCTAGTGTACTGCCAGCAGGTGGCGTACTTTGTGGGGACAGCACTTCCTCTTCACGTCTTATCCTTCGAATCTCACTGATAGACGAGGAATCTGTAATGAGCTGCCTTTGAGTTCATGTTTGTTACGTGTGCTAATCCCAATTTCACCCGCATTTCATTTCCTCCCGTTGGGACAACAAGCTGTCCAGCGATGATGCGGTGAAGAGAGTGCTAGCTGGAGAGAAGGACGTGAAGGGAAGGGCCTCACTGACGTCGAAACCTCAAGAACCAGACAACAGGAATGTGAGGGAAGAGGAGCCCAGGGTTCCTAAAGATGAAGAGGTGATTTCGAGGCGACATATTGGAGCATGAGACAGTGAGTCTTTTTGTAGGTCAGGCAATGACATCTGTAAATGAGCTTGTTATTTGACTTTTTTTCTCCAGGGCAGAAGAAATTCTGAAATAAATGAGAGAAGTACAAGCAGAGATCGCAAACAAAAAGAAGAATTGAGAGAAGAAAGCAAACAGAGGGAAAAAGAAAGGGACAAGGAGAAGACCAAGGAGAATGACCGTGACCGACATAAAGACTCTGAGAGAGACAAGGGCCGCGAAGGGGAGAGAGAGAGGACCAGGGCCAGGGCCAGGCCTGACAGGGACAGAGACAGAGGCAACAGGGACCGCGACAAGGATGTGGACCGTGCGCGAGAGAAGAGAAACGAGGGAGGAAAAGAAAAGGAGCGGTGGAAAGACAGGGAGAAGGAGCGCGAGCGAGACAAGGGCAGGGACAGGGATAGGGACAGGCGGAGGGTGAAAAACGGGGAGCATGCCCGGGACCCCGTCAAGGAAAAGAGCCGAGAGCATGATAAACCGGAGAAGAAGGTAAAGTCCTCTTTGAAAGTGTGAGCCTCTAACTTAGAGTTTGTGGTGTTCTCTAAAATGATTTTTGTCTTCATTAGAATGTGACTAGGAAACTGATTTTTTAATCGCCAATTTAAAATTAAGAGGGTCTTGGATTCTCAGTAGAAACTGGGAGAGATGCCAGTTTTTTGCAGGTGATTTCAGATTTGCTCTGTGCTGTGAGTGGTGTTTGGGTGTTTTTCTGAAGTCTGTGGAACGGCCGGGACCCAGCGTTGTGATTAGTGTGCACAGGCTGGCTCAGTGGTGTGTGGGCCTAGGAGCCTGGTTGTGGCTGCATTTATTAAGGATTATGGCTACTTCCTGAGTCTTGTAGGTATTAGTGGGCAAGTACAGTAAGTCCTTGGTTTCTGTATTTCTTGTTTAGTTAAATGTTCAGATAAATTTAGGATTGACCAGAAAATTAGTTTGGTTTCAGTGTTTTCTGAATGTACAAGTTGCTTTGGGTTCCCTATGGATTGTATAGGTGTCCCGTCAGGCTAGTGTTCCAACTGTCCTCCTGGGGGCATCATGTGGTTCTGGAGTGTTCTGGGAAGAAGGTCGTGGGGGTCTTCTGGCCTCCAGCTGCTAGAAAGGAGGGACCCAAGGTCTAGAAAGGTTCAAGGTCATTTCAAGGTGGTGAGGGGCGAGGCCTGAGCTGTGCTGCCTCCAGGGACAGCCCTCTGGTTTTGTAGCATGGTACCTCAGGGTGCTGCACAGGGGGCCCAGGGGTAGATGGGCCTGGCTCTGCGGGAGGCCTGGGCACTGCACATAGGTTTGGTTAGTAATTGAGTTGTGATCTACTGGGAGCCTTGGGGTCCCCATGGGCCCTGGAGTAATATAACCTATGGCAGGTGTCATGAAAACCAGGGTCACCGCAAGAGTCTGAGAAATACAAAGACATTCCCCATGTTCTCTCACGCATCGATGCTCTCTCTCTCTCTGTCTCTTTCTCTCTCTCCCTCCCTCTCTCTCTCCCTTCCATTCCCTCCCCCTCCCTCCCTCTCTCTATTCCTCTCTCTGAGATCAGTTAAAAAAGAGAATGTTTTAAAAAAAAAAAGATATCCCCCATGTTTTGCTCTTTCCAGAGGTCTAAGAAGTTTGTCACCAACTTGCTTTTTCTGAGGCGCTGGCACATTCTGGTGTGTTTTACTGTGCGCCAGGCAGCGAAGTGAATGGCCAGTGTTCCCACCTGTTCTGTTCACTACACTTGCTGTGCTGTGACGAGGTTTTGATGGAGAGACAATTCTAAAGAGCGGTTTTGCGGGTGGGTATGTGGCACCTATTGGAGCCAAGTAAGAGCAATGGTTTTGTGTAAATGTATGTGAGACCAGGGAGAAGGCACTGTTCCTGCTTGGAGCTGGGCCGCCAGAGAGAGACAGACAGACACCAGTCCCGACTTCTGTATGTAACCGGTAGCTTAGGAGGTGGGAGTTGCCTCCCTTCGACTTCTGTCCAGCTTAGATGGCATTCTCAGCCTCCCTGTGGGGTTTGTGAGGAAAAGGTGAAATGGTGGGTGTGAAGTGCTCTGAGAAGTCACAGTGACATGTGTGAGGGTGAAGGACCCAGGCCATCTGTGGGCGTGACACCCTGTCTCCTCTGAGGAGACAGCTGGGTGCACCTGGGCTGGGGGCGCCCCGAGCAGGGTCATTATGGCCAGTGCCGTCTGTCCCGTCAGGACTAAGTGATGAGGACATTTAGTCGTCGAAATGTTGACGAGGCATAATGCCCTCTGTCTTCACAGAGGAACCTCAGTGATTGTATCTCCTCTCCCAGTACGAGATGTGTCTTCCAGGGAATTTGATTCAAGATGCAAGGTGGTTTTCACAGTTTCCCTGCAATTTGTCTAAAGAGGGCTTTCCTGGCGCACAATCTGGAGCCTCCCTTTGAGAGTGCCTGGCTCTCAGAGCCGGGGAGGGAGCGGGCCACTCTCCCCCACGGCCGGGTCCCTGTCTCTCACTAGGATGTGCCCGAGAGGTTTGGCCTGGCGCCAGGAGACACTGTCCTGCAGTTTCCCCGAGAGGCACTGCCCTGAGCGTGCTTCCCCTGTTCTGCCCCATGTGGGAGTGGTCTGGATGGTCTTTTGGGATCCAAGCAGCTAACAGCCACAGGGGTCCGATGTGCAGTGGGACACGGGGAATGATTATCTCACTGTTGTCAGCAAGAAGCATCTTGCATTTGGATGTCATTTTAGATGTAGTAAATTTGAATAATTATAGAATTTGAAGAAAAACACTTTTTTTTTATAGTCATCAAGCTCCGGGGAGATATCTAAAAAGTTGTCCGATGGATCTTTTAAAGACTCCAAAGCTGAAACAGAGGTAAGCTTTTAAAAATAACTTTAAGAGACGCAAAGCTGTGGCTGTGTGGAAATAGTAACTGCTGTGCCGGGGCCTCTCCTAGCCACAAGACGGGAGGAGCGCGCAGCGTGGGCTGCAGGCCGGAGGGCCCTGTTCAGCTTGTCGTAGGAGCGATGATTTGAGTGGCTTACTGCCTGGACACACAGCTGGGGAGTGCAATCCTCCGGTCTCCTGTGTGGACCCCTGGGCTTCCTTAAAGCTTCATTTGGCAAGTGCTATGTATGGTGTACAAAGGGACAAGGTAGTCATTCGGGAGAGGGGGAGGTGGCACTTTGGATGAGTCTGGGTGAGGACTAGTCACCAGGCAGACAGGGAGACAGAGGCCAAGCTCTGCGGGGCTGTGTGGGACCCCGCAGCGTCTCCAGTGGCAGGGGGTGGTTGAGGCTGGGCCCTTCCTCTCCATGTGGGCCATCCTAGGGAGGTCATACTTCCCAGCTCTCACAATCTAACTTGCTTTCAGAGAGCGCCCCCAGGCAGCTGCAGGAAAGAGGGGCGAGGGGTGGGACTGAGGTTGGGAGGCCAGTTAGGAGGTCAGTTAGGAGGCCGTCATGGCTGGTTGAGGGAGGTGGCAAGGCAGGAACTGCCAGTGGTGGGAGGGGTGGGATGAGCTGTTTTCTCTGATCTGGACTCACAGTTGTCTACGGATGCGTGATCAAGTGTATAGCCGTAGTGGTTGAATAAGGTGTGGTTGGCAAGTTGCTGGCCTGCTCAGGGCTGTACAGAAGACAGGATCCTAAATCTAGAGCGAGAGCGGGCTCAGCCTCCCTCTGCCTCCTCAGGCCTGGAGTGCTTTCAATGCACCTAGTTGGTGTCAGTCCCTCTAAAGAGTATGGATGGCCTTGTTCTGTGTCCTGTTCTTCCTCGAGCGGAGCTTGGATCATAAATCTGCTCGTGGGTCTCTGAGGGATGCATCAATTAATTTTTTTTATTCTCTTTAAGACGGAGGTTTCCAGTAGAGCACCCAGGTCAAAGGCAACAAAGACTTCAAAACGGCCATCTAAAACCTCATTGGAAGGTACAGCAAACTGTATCATATAAGTGCCTAAACATGTGGAGAGTCATTTCTTTGCCTTAATCACAGTATCTATGGGAAAACACTCCTGTGGCTTGAAAGCAGTTCTGCCATTGGGGGGATGAACAAAGACTGGGAAAGTGATGAAGATATGTGGCTCTTACACACATACATGAGCTCATGACACCGGAGCAGAGAGCACCTCCTTACTGGAGATACACCTAGAAGATGTGATCCAATTTTAATTGTCTGGAAATATGTACCAGTCATCCATGTTTCAGCGACTCTTATCTTTGTATGATTGGCTGCATTTAATCCTGATGCAGGAGGGACAGCAAGAGCCTCCTGTTCTCAGGCAGATGGTCCCTATGCATTTAAAACAGCAGAAGCTATCACTGGGAAGCTGCAGGGAACAGGCCTAGCCTGGGTTTGCCGAAGGATAGACTCATATGACAGAAATAACTAAGTGGGGAGAGAGCGAGCCAGTGCAGGGAAGTGCTGTTGAAGGTTTTCAGTTCAGTATAAAGTTACTTTTCCTAAATTGTGGAAGTTAAAGAAGTGAGGCAAGGATGTCATCTTTGAAATTTTTCACTTAGAAATGAAGCTTGGGTGTTTGTTTTGCGTTTTTTGGACATGGAATCGTCCATCCCCTTTAACCATAACACGTAATACTTTAATGAACGTCTGTGTGGGATGGGTTCCCGGAAGGGTAAGCGCTGGCACGAAGCTTTTAGCTGCAGGGACCTGCCGTGCCCTCTGCCCCTCCTGCTCTAGGGCTTCAGAGGCTCGCTGTCTCCCTGGGCTTCCTAGTGAAACTGCATCCTCTGTGGGCCAGTAATTCTCATCGACTTCCTCATTTGTCTGTTCTTCCCTTTGCCTGACTCCTTATTACTCTCCTCAGAGCCTCAGTCTTAATTTGCGTAACTTCCCTGTACATGAGGGACATCTGCCAATTTTTAAACAAGTGTTTGTTTTTTACATTTTTTAAAGTTCATTTCTATTAATTATGTTTGATTTCTGACTTGCCCAAGTGTTTAATTTGTTTGCATTGGAAGCTGCCAGTCTTTTTTTTCTTTTTGTCCAGAGATTTGAGAGATGACGACTTTGTATTTTGTCATACATTATTATCATTAATTGTTTTAGCTATTTCTTACTTTAATTCAGGGGTCCTCAAACTTTTTAAATGGGGCCAGTTCACTGTCCCTCAGACCGTTGGAGGGCCGGACTATAGTTTAAAAAAAAACTATGAACAAATTCCTGTGCACACTGCACATATCTTATCTTGAAGTAAAAAAACAAAACGGGAACAAATACAATATTTGTATTTGCATGTGGCCCACGGGCCGTAGTTTGAGGACCCCTGCTTTAATTTATGGTGGAAGATGAGGTTTCAGAGTCTTTCTTTCTTTCTTCCTTTCTTCCTTTCTTCCTTTCTTCCTTTCTTTCTTTTCTTTCTTTTCTTTCTTTCTTTTTTTTTTTCAGAATAACTCAGCAGTATTCCAGGATCACTTACTAGTGATTTTCCTTCCCTCGTGCTCTCTGGTCTCCCTACACGCCTTTTTAAACTTCCACTGTTTTCTGTTTTACTACTGGTTTCCTATCATTGTTCTTTAAAACAGCTTTCAGCCCTTTTGTCTACTCTTCCAGATGTATTTTTAAATCACTTGATGAGTCAAAGAATCCCATGACCCAGAAACAAAACTACCTTAACTTCCCTGGATTTAGTTGGATTTGTGTTAAACTCAGGCTTCATTATGTGGGGAAGATTGGATACTTCTAATTTGGAGTTATGCAGGCGTCTCCTTCCTCCCAAGATGTGTGTGCATGTGTGTCTGTGAGTCAAGGTTTATTTGATCATTCGTTTTGTTTTTAGTTTTTTGGAAGTGGAATCTTTCTTCCCCTCATCATTTTTAGTGATTATTGTTAGAATGTAGATGCTTTATTGATTGTTGCAGTTGTATCCTAAATCAAGTCTTGTCATAGTTCTTCTGTTGACTTTTTGGGTTTTCGGAGCTGACAGTCATATTGAGTGCTTTTCTTTTCTGCGTCTGAGTTCATGGGCAAGCTTGCACTATAGAGTTCCTTTAGCAGCGGTTCTCAACCTGTGGGTCGCGACCCCTTTGGGGGTCGAATGACCCTTTCACAGGGGTTGCCTAAGACCATTGGAAAACACATATATAATTACATATTGTTTTTGTTATTAATAACTATGCTTTAATTATGTTCAATTTGTAACAATGAAAATACATCTTGCATATCAGATATTTACATTACGATTCATAACAGTAGCAAAATTACAGTTATGAAGTAGCAACGAAAATAATTTTATGGTTGGGGGTCACCACAACATGAGGAACTGTATTAAAGGGTCGCGGCATTGGGAAGGTTGAGAACCACTGCTTTAGAGGTTCTTTAACACATTCAACTGTCGGAGGTTTGCAAGCTATGTGGAATTACTGAGCTGTCAGCAAATTGGTGGACTCTCTTCTTTCTTGCCTGCTAGCCGGGGCACTGACCTCATGTGGATCCTCACCCAGCAAAGCGGGCACTCCCCCCTGACACTGACTTGTTGGCATGAGAGCATCGGGAAAAGGGCATGAGGCCCAGGAACTCTGTTCAGCTCGAAGGATAAGCCTGTATGTACTGGGGTGTGAGGTGTTATGCTGTTGGACACATAGAATCGTAAAGCCATTCTAGAACCCATATAGAATCCAGAAAACATTCTGCATGAGAAGATAACTTTTGCCTGTTCTTAAATAGTACATTATAGCACATCTAGTCACTTTGAGTTGGTGAGTGCATTTAAATTTCATTTGATAACTGCAGCATTACAAATTCAGTTTAGTACATATTTTCATTGTGTAATTTCATGTTAGGAAGAAGGGGCTTAGAACAAGTGAACCTAGTCTTTCCTCTGAGAAAGAACGTACCCCTCCTGCAGGAAAGCTAAGAAGGAGCATGGGAAACCTGGGCTGCCCTGCCCGACGGAGGCTGTGCAGGATGTTTGAGAGCCGGCCCCTTAGCCACCTGTCCTCTGCTTCCTATTATTATTGACCAGGTGGAGCTCGGTAGGTGGTCAGCAAAGGTTCCACCTGGGGCCTGGGCTCTAGACACCGCCTGTGGAGCAGGGCAGGACACCTGTGCCCCGCTCGCCGAGCTGCAGGGCTGCGAGGATTTCCTGCCGTGAGTCCGTCCCAGCTGAGTGTGTGCATTGGAGCCTTTGTTTCTTCATTCTGCAAATGTCTGTGGACAGTGATCGAGAGGGAGAAGACAGGTAGCCAGGAGAACACAGCCTGCCTACATTCATGTTAGTTAGCCAGGAGACTTGGAGGGAAGTGAAGCTAGGAGGAGTGGGTAAGGTTGGGCGGTGTGCAGGCAGGGAGGGCCTCTGGGGAGGGGACATCCGGACAGAGCTGGCTGGGGTGAAGGAGGACCTGTAGGTGTCCAGGAACGGGCAGAAGCTCTGAGCTGGGCACAGGCTTGCCTGTTTGAGTGACAGGAAGCAGGTCCTGAGGCTGGAGCTGAGAGAGGATGTGATGGGAGGAGGGGCTCACGAGTGGGCGGCCTGAGTTGCGGGACCACATTGCAGAGTTCCTAGGGATGAGGAGGATAGGGACATGATTTGACTTCTGTTTTAGAAGCACCTCCTTTTAAAACTGTAGAGGGGCGACCATAGAGGCAGGGGAGCAGTCAGGTGGAAGCAGTGTCCAGGTGAGGGACCTTGCTGTGGGACCCAAGTGTCACTGGTGAGAACAGACTGGGGGTGGGGTGCAGGTACATGTGCCGATGGGTTGGATGGCATTTGTTAGAAAGGAGAGGAATCAAAGGTAAGGTCCATTTGGGGAGGGTCTGGGCATTACGGAAGTGGGAAGGCTTTGGAAGAAGTTGGGTGGGGAATGGTGGCATTGGCGGCATTGGCAGGCATTTTGTTTCAGAGACGCCTGTGACACAACCAGATAGGGGTGTTGAGACAGTGGACAGGTGTATAGGCCTGGAGTTCAGGAACAGAGTTGGAGAACCTGAAGGTGAAAACGAAGAGTTGGGAATTTGTAGCAGGCAGTTGGTCTTTCTCACTCGGGCCATCTTGTGATCATCAGTCTGGGAGGGTATGGAGGTAACATGCTCTGGACCACCCAGCTGCACAGGCCCGGAGAGCAGGAGGCAGCTCTGGCAGGGGACACAGAAGTTGGAGGAAAGTTTAGAGAGTGGGCGTCCTGAAAGCCAAGGGGAGGCACTTCAGGAGGGGGTGTCTTGTTGAATGCTTTTTAGAGGGGCGTCCCATGGAGGCCGAGACTGTTAGTGACCTTGGCATTGGCCCCTATGAATGCCGGCTGAAGCAATCAACTCAAAGGCCTTGGCAACACCCTGCTCTCTCGTTAACTACTTTATGTCAGGAGGGAAGGAGGGTCGTGTTTCAGCTAACATTTTAGGCCCCATAGTGTCTGGATTAAATAATGAACCAGATCAAGAAACTACAGATTCAGAAATAGATAAGAAAAATAAACTCTTTAGTTTAAATTTCTAACCACTTTGGTATGAAATAGTTATATCTTAATGTAGGTATAAATTATTATTTTTTTTTATTCTAACCACTTTGATGTTCATTGTAATGTCCTGAAGGTCAGAAATGAGTTGATATTCTGTTTACTTTAACTTGCTATGTTAGATGATAAAGATGAATAACAGTTTTTCCATGCCCTTTTTTGTACAACTTATTTTTTTATGGTGGTTAATCCTCACCTGAGGATATTTTTCCCATTGATTTTTTTAAAAATATTTTTTTTATTGACTTCAAAGAGGAAGGGAAAAGGAGAGAGAAATAGAAACATCAGTGATGAGAGAGAATCATTGATTGGCTGCTTCCTGCATGCCCCCTACTAGGGATCGAGCCTGCAACTTGGGCTTGTGCCCTGACTGGGAATTGAACCGTGACCTCCTGGTTCATAGGTAGAAGCTGAACCACTGAGCCATGCTGGCAGGGCTTTCATTGATTTTTTGGAGTG